GAATGTTATTTTGAATTATGTACATACTCTGGTCAAACCTCAAGGCTGATTATAGACTGTTCAGACAGAGATCACCAAATTAATTCCAATACTTACATATAAATTTTGTTATCTTCATCCCTAGGACTTCTGGAAGCTGAATATATTACAGGGATGTCAGTCTTTTTGCTGAAGGGTTAAGATGATATAGTTCTTTCCTTTTCTCACCCTAAAGAATATAGCCTGACTGGGTGCCAATGGCGCATGCCTGTAATCCTAACTACTCAGGAGGCTGAGATCTGAGGATCATGATTTGAAGCCATCAAGGGAAGGAAAGTCTGTGAGATTCTTATCTCCAGTTAACCACTAGAAAACTGGAAGTGGTGCTGTGGCTCAAAGTGCTGTGGTAGAGCACTTTGAGCACTAACAAGCCTTGAGCAAAAAAGCTGAGGGACAATGCCCAGGCCCTAAGTGTAAAAAAAAATGTGGCCTGTGATAATGGGCAGATACTCTCACTTTAGTGAAGAGAGTCAGGGATTACACCCACAGTTCTAGCTTTCAGGCCTGGCTAGACATGAAGTAGTACCTTGGCTATTTCCTTGCTATTGTAATCTTAACCATGTCATTTTCCCTTTATGTAAGGGAAAGAAGAGACTAAATTATCTCTCAGATCCCTGCCAGATGCAAAAGCCTGTGATTCTAATTTCACTCCTTCTCTGTCAGCACTTTCTCAGCAAAGTTTCCCAGTAACTTTTGGCAAACAACTTGCCTACAGATGACTTCAGTTTTCGGTACAAAACTGACCTACTCATTTATCTTGTGACTCATTCAGAGGACCATAATGTAGTCTTATGGGAACCTAAGAAGGGCTACCCTGTGCCGTCCCATAGTGAATCCATCCTGGTCATAGGAGTACCAGAGTTTGATGGTAGACAATAGTCCATCTTTTCTACCACCATTCTCCTTGCCTCGCATCTTTTCTTGCTTAGTGCAGTTGAGATAGGCTCCCTCCCCCAAACAGCTCTATATCTGAACAGACCTTGCACAGATATCTTTCATGGCTCCCCAGAAGGTATTTATGAAAGCCTGAATTTAGACTGTAGGAATAAAAAGGAGAAAGTGGGTAGGACAAAAATTTTGCAAGGGTCTGGGAAGGTGGCTCAGTGGTAGAGCGCTTGCCTTGCATGCATGAGGCCCTGGGTTCCATTCCTCAGCACCACATAAGCATAAAGAAAAAAGCCGGAAGTGGCACTGTGGCTCAAGTGGTAGAGTGCTAGCCTTGAGTGGAAGAGCTAAGGGACAGTGCCCAGGCCCAGAGTTCAGGCTCCACAACCGGACCAAAAAAAAAAAAATTATGCAAGTAAAATAACATAAATTAATAGAATATATCAGTGTAGAACACATATTTAGCATATGCAGGACCCTAGATCCTGATCCTTAGCACCAAGAAAAGAAAAGATTATGGAAACTAGTATTTAGTATTATATGCAGTTATGCTTTTGCTGGATTGCTGTACACTTGGCTCAGAGTTGAACTATGATAATAATAGGCTCCCGATAAAGTGGACAGGTCCAAGTGGATCTAGGCCAACATGGAAAAGCAAGTGAGAGGCCAAGAGGGACACTGGAATCAGCTTTCTTTATTAACTTGAAGGAACACCTTTGAAGAGCCTTGGCATTTTCTTTGGTTAAGGAAAGCTTCCAGGCTTCAGAGAAGCTCCTCCCTTCTCTGCTGGAAATTTTTAGTGCTCTCCATTACATTCAGGCTTTAGCATTCCTCACAGCTCAAACTGCGGTGCTGATTGTCCTAATGAGGAGTCCTTTTTTTTTTTTTTTTTTTTGCTATATTTGGCCTGGGGCAGGGATAGCTCTGAAGAAGAGAGAGAGAGCAAGGCTTCTGTGTCTTTATGGTTAGTATCTTAAGATTGACTTCTCTCACTCATTCCAAGGTCTAGCTAGCATCCTTGGTTGGCCACCGTTGTTGAGAACTTTAATAATAGGGAAGGCTTACCTGGAAAAATCCCTTATATTGTGGTTTAAATAGTTGGGTGTTAGTTCCTGGGATTTGACCTGTCTGGATATGTGATTCTGGAGGACATACTTAATCTTTTTTTTTTTAAGTTTAGAACTTTATTTTTTTTTCTATTTTTTTAAATTTAATTTAATTTTTTTTATTTTTTTGGGTCCGGTCATGGGGCCTGATCTCTGGGCCTGGGCGCTGTCCCTCAGCTCTTCAGCTCAAGGCTAGCGCTCTACCACTTGAGCCACAGCACCACTTCTGGCTTTTTTTTTTTTTTTGCTTATGTGGTGCTGAGGAATCGAACCCAGGGCCTCTGGCTTGCAAGGCAAGCGCTCTACCACTGAGCCACCTTCCAGCCCCATAGAACTTTATTTTTTATTATACTTAATCTTTCTAGGCTTTGTATTCTTCCCACACACAAATGAAGAACTAGGGGAGAAAATAATCTCTAAATTCCTTCCCATTCTGGAATTCTAAAATAGTGACTTACCACGTTTTTTTCTTAGTTGTGCTAGGATATATTTGGATGGTAATGAAAATAAAAATTTTTTTATTGTGATTAAGTGATTACATAATTTCCCAAATTTCACAGTATTGTAGGATAGTGATGCTTAGTTAAAGTCACAAACATATTCTAACTTTCATGGGGCACATTGTCTATCATGGTCTATAACATTTATGAATTCTATGAGCTTTGCAGTACAGTTATTTCTTCCACATTGGGTGATATGTACATTTCTTTCGTTTTGCATAGCATCAGCTGTTCCCTCTTTCCCACTCTTCCCTCCCTCCCATTGCTGACATTGAGCTGCTTAGTTCATTTTGATCAATGTCAAGTCAAGCAAAGGATTTTTAAAGAAAAATGTTGAGGTGTACAAGACACTATGTAGAAAACGAACTTTACAACTTAGGCGGGGAGTTGGGAAGGTGGGGAGGGAAGGGATGAAAAAAAAATGTACCTGTATATTTTGGGGTTTATAGACCTGTTGGAATTCATCGCCAGTGGCTCACACCTGTAATCCTAGCTACTCAGGAGGCTGAGATCTGAGGATCGCAGTTCACAGCCAGCCCAGGCAGGAGACTCCATGAGACTCTTAACTACAATCAACCACCAGAAAACAGCAAGTGGTGCTGTGGCTCAAGTGGTAGAGCGCTAGCCTTGAGCTGAATTGCTGAGGGACAGAATTAAAGCTCCATGACTGACCCCCCCCAAAAAAAATCCTTTGCTTTCATCAGAATCTTTTTTTTTTTTTTTTTTTTGCGGGTTGTGGGCCTGAACTCTGGGCCTGGGCGCTGTCCCTCAGCTCTTCAGCTCAAGCCACTTGAGCCACAGTGCCACTTCCAGCTTTTTCTGTTTATGTGGTTCTGAGGAATCAAACCCAGGGCCTCATGAATGCAAGGCAAGCATTCTACCACTGAGCCACCTTCCCAGCCCCTTCATCAGAATCTTAAAGAAATCAAAAGTAGGCAATCTCAGCACCAGTGGCTCACACCTGTAATCCTATCTATTCAGGAGACTGAGATCTGAAGAACATGGTTCAAAGACAGCCAGGCAGGACACTCCTTGAGACTCTTATTTCCAATAAACAACTAGAAAACCAGAAGTGGTGCTGTGGCTAAAGCAGTAGAGCCCTTGCCTTGAGCTGTAGAGCTCAGGGACAGCGCCAAAGCCCAGAGTTAAGCCTCTAAATAAATAAATAAAACTTATTATCTTGTTTTGAGATTCACCTACCATCTCCAGTCCTGTTTCTGCTAAAAATTGATACATTGACAATTATGCTAGATCAAAGATCTGCCCACCTGTCATCTTTCCTATCCCTCTCTGTAGTGGGAATAAACCCAGAGCCTTGTTAAGTATGCCTTCTACATACCAGCCTAGATTTTTGGAGTGGAGAGAAGGTAGTACTTGGGTACTGACTGAGCTCAATCCCCTTTGCATTTGCTGGGCAGGTAGGTGGTCTTAACACTTGAGCAACACTTCCAGGTTCTTTTTTTTTTTTTTTGGGTCCGGTCGTGGGGCCTGAACTCTGGGCCTGGACGCTGTCCCTCAGCTCTTCAGCTCAAGGCTAGCACTCTACCACAGCGCCACTTCCGGCTTTTTTCTTATGTGGTGCTGAAGAATCGAACCCAGGGTCTCGAGCATGCAAGGCAAGTGCTCTATCACTGAGCCACCTTCCCAGCCCCCACTTCCAGGTTCTTTTTGCCTTGATTATTTTCAAGGTAAGGTCTTGCTTTATGTTCAAGGCAACCTGGGCTATAATCCTCATATTTGTGTTTCCCCATGTCACTGGGAATGTCAGGTATATGCCTTGTAAAAACCTTGTAATTGTGCTTACCCCATAGCTGGAATGACACTATTGAGTGACATAAAGCCTTAAGAATTTTTTTAAAATTATTTTTTATTTTTTTGTCGGTTATGGGGCTTGAACTCTGGGTCTGGGTGCTGTCCCTTAGCTCTTCAGCTCAAGGCGAGTGCTCTACCACTTGAGCCACAGTGCCACTTCCAGGCTTTTTTTTCTGCCTATGTGGTGCTGAGGAATCGAACCCAGGGCCTCATGTATGCAAGGCAAGCGCTCTACCACTGAGCCACCTTCCCGGCCCAGAATTTTTAAGCCTAGGATGGCCTCAAATCCTGATCTCCTGGTCAGGTTGTTGTTATTGTTCCAGTACTGGGGCTTGAACTCAGAGTCTTGAGCTTTCAACTTGGCTTTTTTGCTCCCAGCTCTACCACTTGGATCATGTTCCTCCAATTTCAGTTTCTCTCTTGCTTGAGTTAAGAGTCTCATTGATTTGTCTGTCTGGTTGGCTTCAAGCCCACTGGAAAATGAACTTGTTCATTCCTTCCCAAGAAAACTTCAGTTTGAGAGAAAAAAGTGAATAATTTATTTATTTTTAATTGTTTTACAGTTTTGGTTGATTTAAAAATGCCAATATGCTATGATTGAATTTCTTTTATAATACTTTGATTTATTTTCTTTCTCTTTTTGTTTTCTGTTCAGCTCAAGAAGAAGAAAGGAAAAGTTGAATTGAGACCCATTAATTTGGGGACCGATTATGAATATGGAGTTTTAAACATTCACCTGATTGCATATGACATGACTCTGGCAGAAAGTTATGCCCAGTATGTTCACATCCTCTGCAACCATCTCTCCCTCAAAGTTGAGGAAAGGTAGGAGTGATGGTTTTGTATGTGATGTTCTTGGAGTGGGAAAAGCATGTTCTGCTTTTCAGTGAAGTCAGGATTTTAATAAATAATTTGAGTGGATCAAGAAAATATGGTTCATATATACAATAGAATCTTACTTATCTTTCAGAAAGAATAATATTCTGTCACTTGCAGGGAAATGGATGGACTTAGAAAAAATTATGTTAAGTAAAATAAGTTAGGCTCAGAGAGAAAAATAATGCATGTTTTCTCTCATGTGAAAGGTAGATTTAAAGTAAAATATACATGAGAGCATACAGTATGCAGATATACACAAAGAAATTGACCAAAGGATGGAGTACTTAGGGGAGGAGTCCAATAGTATAAATTCTCTGAATGACTAGTAAACCATTTAACAAAATGGGTACCAGGAAGCTGAAACAAGTTTGGGGGTGGAGGAGACAATGACAGGGACCACCCGAAAGGAGGGAGGAAGGGTGAACAAATGCAGTCATTATATTCAATGTACGTTATGTAAAAATTGAACTGTGTAACTTGAGGGTAAGGACTGAAGAGGGAAAGATTGGGGAGAATGATAGAAGGGGTAAAGTTGATCAAGGTGCATTGAACATATAACCTGACTTCTAGAACTGAAACCCCTTTGTACAACTACTTAAGAGAAGTAAGTGGGTTTTTTGTTTGTTTGTTTTTTTAGGTAACTCTTTTAGGTTTACAGTCTGCCACAATCAAAATATAGAGCAGTTCCATCAATCCAAAAAATAAACCCAGTATCCAGGTGTAGTCAGTCTCCTTGCCCTTCCCCAGGGAAGCCCCTAGCACCTACTGATGGGTTTTCTATCCCTATTGTTTTAACTTAATCCAATGTATTTAGCCAAGTGCTGGTGGCTTGTGCCTGCAACCATAGCTACTCAGGAACCTGAGATCTGAGGACCAAAGTTCAAAGATAGCCTGGACAGGAATGTCAGTAGACTTTTTTTGGCACAGGGTGGGGGATGGGGGGGTGGCTGGGGGGAAGAGTACTGGGTGCTGTTCCTGAGCTCTTCAGCTCAAGGCGAGCATGCTACCACTTGAGCCACAGTATCACTTCTGGTTTTCTGATGGTTAATTGGAGATAAGAGTCTCACAGACTTTACTGCCTGAGCTGGCTTTGAACCACGGTCCTCAGATCTCAGCCTCCTGAGTAGCTAGGATTACAAGCATGAGCCACTGGCACCCAGTATCAGTAGAGTCTTACTTAAAGTTAACCAGCAAAAGGCCAGAAATAGAAGTGTGGCTCAAATTCTAGAGCACCAGCCTTGAGTGAAAAAGCTAAGGGACAGCACTCATGCCCTGGGTCAAGAGCAGTGTGCGCGTGCGCGCGTGAAGGAGAAGGGGGAAGGAAGGAAGGAAGGAAGGAAGGATTATCTTGTAAACGAAGCTGTATAGTGTACAGCTGTTTGTCCTCTTAGCATTACATGTTTGAGATTGCTTTATGTTTTGTAAGTGGTTTTTTGTTTTGTTTTGTTTTTGTTCAGTCATGGGGCTTGAACTCAGGGTCTGGGCACTGTCCCTGAGCTCTTTTTGCTCAAGGCTAGCACTGTACCACTTTAAGCTGAAGGACCACTTCCTGTAAGTTTTTTTTCTTTTTCTTTTTGGTTGTTGTCATTGTTTTGTCCATGGTGGGGGCTGAACTCTGGGCCTGGGTGCTGTCCCCCAGCTCTTCAGCTCAAGGCTAGTGCCCTACCACTTGGGCTACAGAACCACTTCTGGCTTTTTTCTGCTTATGTGGTGCTGAGGAATCAAACCCAGGGCCTCATGCATGCAAGGCAAGCACTCTACTACTGAGCCAACTTCCCAGCCCCATGTTTTTTGTTTTTGTTTTAATTGTGATAAAATACATGTAAAGCTAACAGTCTTAACTATTAATTTTTTTGTTTTTTCGTCAGTCATGGGGCTTGAAATCTGGGCTTAGGCACTGTCCCTGTGCTCTTCAGCTTAAGGTGAGCCCTCTTCAGCTTGAGCCACAGAACCACTTCCAGTTTTCTAGTTGTTTATTGGAGATAAGAGTCTCATGGAGTTTCCTGCTGGGCTGGCTTTGAACCATGATCCTCAGATCTCAGCTTCCTGAGTAGGTGATTATAGGTATGAACCACCAGCACCTGGCTAGCCTTAATTATTCTAAAGTATACAATTAAAGTGATATCAAATCCATCCATAATTTTGTACAACACCACCATCTGTCTCCATAACCATTTATCTTATAAAACTAACTGGCTGCCTACCAAGCATGAGTTCCAAACCTATTACCATTAAGAAAAAATCCATACTTACTAAACTCTCCCTTTCCTTCTTAGCCTCTGTCAATTACCATTCTATTTTCTGTCTCTGATTTTGACTATTTAAAGTCATAAGTGGAAATGGCTTGTTTTACTTCTTCTATGGTAACTGGGTCCCAGCGCTTACATAGCCAAAGGAGGAGAATTATGAGTTCAAGATCTATATTTATGGGGGCTGGGAAGGTGGCTCAGTGGTAGAGCACTTGCCTTGCATACATAAGGCCCTGGGTTCGATTCCCCAGCACCACATAAGCAAAAAGAAAAAAAGCCAGAAGTAGCACTGTTGCTCAAGTGGTAGAGCATTAGCCTTGAGCTGAAGAGCTGGGGGACAGCACCCAGGCCCAGAGTTCAGGCCCCATGACTGGACCCCAAAAAAATAAAAAAGATCTATATTTATGTACTTGTTTGTTTATTATGCTGGTTCTGTGACTTGAATTCAGGGCCTGAGCTTTTTTGCTCAAGGATAGCCCTCTACTACTTAAGCCACAGCTCCATTTCTGGCTTTCTCGTGGTTAACTGGAGATTAGAGTTGCATGGATTTTCATACCCAGGCTGGTTTTGAATTGTGATCCTCAGATCTCAGTCTCCTGAATAGCTAGGATTATAGGCATGTGCCATCAGTGCCTGGCTAAGAGCTACTTATATTTATTTATTTTTAATAAGTTTTTTTCTGAACAGAGGGGTTACAGTTACATGAGCAAGGTAATAAGTACATTTCCTATCAAGCATTGTTGCCTACTCCTTTGTTTTTCCCCTACCATACCTTCTCTCCCACCTCCACAACTACACTCTGCCCCCTCCCCTAAATTGTAAAGTTTGTTTTTCAACATAGTGTCTTGTACATCTCATTGTTACAATGGGTCAACCTGTATCCCTATTTAAACATTTTGTTTTTTCCCTTCCCTTCTCCAAATTAGACCAACATCAAATACAGTGAAAACAGGGGTTATACTGTGGGGGAGGAACATAAAAAGCAACAAAAAAAATCACATGGTACATTATAAATACGTTAGGAACAATAGCAAGAAAGAAAAAAAACCACTTGTGTCCCTATCTTGGGGTTCATTTCGCTTAACATCATCTTGCATGGTCATATATACATAGCTTTTGACCTTTTCTGCTTGTCCCAGACATATACTAGTTATTGCAAATAAGGGAAACTATAGGACTTATGTTTCTTTGGGCCTGGCTTACTTCACTTAATATAATTTTTTCCAAGTTTTTCTATTTCCTAACAAATGGGACGATGTCATTCTTTCTGATGGAGATATAGAATTCCATTGTGTGTGTGTGTGTGTGTGTGTATCACATTTTCTTGATCCATTCATCTACTGAGGGGCATCTGGGTTGGTTCCATATCTTAGCTATGGTAAATAAGGCTGCAATAAACATAGTTGTGCTGGTAGTTTTAGTATGTTCTTGTTTGTAATCATTTGGGTTTCTTTTTCTTTTCTTTTCTTTTCTTTTTTTTTTTGTTGGTTGTGGGGCCTGAACTCTGGGCCTGGGCGCTGTCCCCCAGCTCTTCAGCTGTAGACCAGTGCTCTACCACTTGAGCCTCAGCTCTACTTCCTGTTTTTTCTGCTTATGTGGTGCTGAGGAATCAAACCGAGGGCCTCATGCATTCAAGGCAAGCATTTACCACTGAGCCACCTTCCCAGCGCCATTTGGGTAAATGCCCAAAGTGGGATTTCTGGGTCATAGGGGAGCTTTATGTGGAGTCTTTTGAGGAACCTCATACTGTTTTCCAAAGTGGCTGAACAAGTTTACACTCCCACGAACAGTACAGTAGGGTTTCCTTCTGGCCACATCCCCTCCAGCATCTATTGTTATTAGAGTTCTTGATTATAGCCATTCTAACTGGGGTGAGGTGGTATCTCAATGTTGTTTTGATTTGCATTTCTTTTATGGCTAGAGAGGTTGAGCATTTCATCATGTGTCTCTTATTTTTATTTTTAACAGTTCACTTCTCTGCATTGATTGAAGTTTTCCCCACTGTTATATATGAGCAGTGCAGCAGTTTTTTGCTTTTTGTTTTGCCAGTTTTGGGGCTTGAACTCAGGGCCTGGGCACTGTCCCTGAGCTGTTTTTGCTCAAGGCTAGTACTCTACCACTAGAGTCACAGTGCCACTTCTGGCTTTTTCTGTTTATATGGTAGTGAGGGCTTCATGCATGCTAGGCAAGCACTCTACCACTAAGCCACAATTCCTAGGCCAAGTGTACCAGTTTTGTTCAGTCAATAGTGTGAATGGCTGTAGCTGCAATTTCTAAAGAAAGGAAAGGAAGAGGCCTCTCCTGTGGGCCTCCTAACCTAAGGCATCCCTCACTTAGCAGCAAGCTGGGAGATGGAAATCATACTCATCTGGGAGAAGCTTCCAGTCCTGTCAAGCCTGTTGGTACCCAGTCTATGTTCTGTGGAGAGTGGAAGCATCACCCAGCATCACTTGCTGTGAAGAGCCCATACTTTGTTACCTCTTTTCTTAATTCTACTTTCAAAAAGTTTTAAGGCATAACTTTTATCTTATTTTGCTTTGTTCTTAAAGTACTGAGGACCCCAGGGCTTTGTGCATGATTCCCAAAGGAAACATTGTTTTGTCAACAGGGTTGATATTCTAATGTAATTATTTCATTTCTTCTTCCCTGACCTTTCAAGAAATGTTTATTATGAAAAAACTGGAAATTATACAAAATAGGGCATGGGTCAAGTGGGAAAATGCTATCCCTACAAGCACAAGGCTCTGAGTTCAAACCCCAGTATAGAAAAAGTGTGGAAAGTACACAAGAATGTAGACACTTGAGAACAATTACGCTGGGCACCAGTGGCTCACACCTGTTATCCTAGCTACTCAGAAGGCTGATGTCTGAGGCTGGAGGTTCAAAGCTAGCCCAGGCAAGAAAGACCGTGAGACTCTAATCTTCAATAAACCCCCAGAAAACCGGAAGTCGTGTTGTGACTCAAGTGGTAGAGTGCTAGCCTTGAGCTGAAGAGCTGAGGGACAGTGCCCAGGCCCAGAGTTCAAGCCCCATGACCTACAAAAAAAAAAAGAAAGAAAGATTACCTGTATTGTTATCACTCAAAGCCTCTTCTACTTTGAAATTACAAGACTTCCCAGTATTTTTTTTTTTTTTTTGGGTCTGGTTATGGGGCCTAAACTCTGGGCCTGGGCACTGTCCCTCAGCTCTTTAACTCAAGGCTAGTGGTCTACCACTTGAGCCACAGCGCCACTTCCGGCTTTTTTCTTTTTGCTTATGTGGTGCTGAGGAATGGAACCCAGGGCCTCAAGCATGCAAGGCAAGCACTCTACCACTGAGCCATCACTGAGCCACCTTCCCAGCCACACTTCCCCTCCTGCCTTCTGGGCTGTAGAGGTACTGATGACTTTCTTGGAATGCTTCCCCCAGGCAAGCACTTTAGCTCATTCTTTACATCTAGATAAATAGCTCTCACCTGCAAAGCCTTCCCTGAGCCTACCTTTTATCCTCTTGTCCCAGTCTTACTCAGAACCTACTGTGATTGCTTTTGTCTTACTGGAGTGCAGGTGCTTGTGTACTTGCCTGTCTCTGTAACACTCTGAGTGAGCTTTTTTGATAGGTAGCAATTTAATAATAAAAGCATATTAATATTGTTCAGTTGTCAATTAAAAGCACCCAAAGCTTCGTACCTGTGTCTCATGCCTGTAATCCTAGCTACTCAGGAGGTTGAGATCTGAGGATATCAGTTCAAAGCCAGCCTGGGCAATGAAGTCTGTAACTTTTCTTTTCTTTTTCTTTTTTTTTTTTTTGTCTGTCATGGGGCTTGAAGTCTGGGCCTGAACGCTGTCCCTCAGATCTTCACCTCAAGGCTAGAGCTCTACCACTTGAGCCATAGCTTCACTTGCAGTTTTCTGAGTGGTTTATTGGAGTTAAGAGACTCACCGACTTTCCTGCCCGGGCTGGCTTTGAACTGAGATCCTCAGATCTTAGCCTCCTGAGTAGCTAGGATTACAGGTGTGAGCCACCAGCACCTAGCTAAGTCTGTAACTTTTGTCAGTCGTGGGGCTTGAACTTAGTTCTCAGGAGTGGGCACTGACCCTGAGCTTTCTGCTTGAGGCTAGCACTCTAACTCTTGGAGCTATAGGTCCACTTTTAGTTTTCTGGTGGTTAACTGAAAGTAAGAGTCTTGTCAGACTCTTTATCAATACTAAACTATAAACAAAATGCAAAAGTGGAGCTGTGGCTCAAGTGGTAGAGTGGCTAGCCTTGAGCACAAAAGCTCAGGGACAGTGCCTGGGCCCTAAGTTTAAGCCCCAAGGCTGGCGTGCACACACACGCACGCACACACACACACACACACACACGCACGGGCGCGCGCGCACACACACACACACACACACAAAGCAAACAAATAAATTTTGAAATAATAAATGACTATCATTATAAACTATTTCAGTTTAGAGAACTCCATATTGGTAAAGTGCTCTCTTCTATACTTTAAATATATTAGTTATAGAACATACTGTTGATAGAAGGCTTATAGACTTGGGGAAAACAAATTCACTTAGCATGTAATGTAGCCAGTAATAACTAGTACCTGAGTGAGTTCCTTGAAGGCATGGATGGGGTTTGTCCCTAGAGAGCCCGTGACAAAGCAGGTTGTTATGAAATATTTGTAGAATGAAATCAATGAATAAAATTCTGTTCAGCTCTGGAAGTGTGACTGAAGTGGTAAAGTCCTTGCTCAGTAAGCATGAGGTCTTGAGTTCAAAATCCAGTACTCCCCACCGCCACTCCTCCCTCTAAAAGAGCCAAACTAAACAAACAAGAAAAAACATTATTAGTGACAGGAATGGATAAGTTCTATTTTAGTCAACCTTAGTTACAGAATGCCAAAATGGAAAAATAAAACTAACATTTTAGAGTGACTTTTACTTTTCTTAAAGCTTTTATTAACAGTTATTTTATTTGACCTCCCATAAGAAGTCTGTGATTGCGTGTCCACTTGTATGTGTGTGTGTGTTTGTGTGTGTGTGTGAGTGTTAGGGGTTGATAATACTGGGCATTATGCATTCTAGACAAGTACTACACTGAGCTACATCCCCCTTTTTTATGTCAGAAAGTTATTACTGTATTTGGATTGCCGATCAAATGTACAAAACAGTAGGAGAAGATGTTATTTAAAGAGGCTATATAAAAGAGTTCGTAATACCCCGGCACCTGTTTATCAAGGCAAAAGAATTGGCATTTCTTTCTTTCTTTTTTTTTTTTAGAGTTGGTTTAGTATATTATATATTTTAGCTTTGAAAGCTATAGAAATCAGTTATCCCAGTTTTTTCCTATAAAAAGACCCATTTTCCCAAAGCATTATGCACAATTTTAATTAGAATATGACAGATGATATTTCATAATTTTTAAATATAAAATGAAGTCAATGACTTGAAAAAGTTATTTACTGCAATGAGTTTGAGGGGAAATTTTATAATCGATACCATTACAGATACAAAGTATAACGGTTCAACTTTTTAGTGCTTGACAGGGAAGAATCATGATAAAAAGATCAATATGAAATCATTTGATTATAATAGCAATATCTAACATTTGAAATGTATCCATGCTCTTTTGAATAATTGTATTAGTCAGGTATAGTTATTGGCTGCTGTTGTTGCACAGAGCCGGGTCCTGAGCTGGAGCCACAGCCATGAAAAGGGAGGAGATGGTGGTGGAGGAGACGCCAGGGCAGAGTGTGTGTGTGGGGGGGGGGGAGAATAGATTTCCAGAAGTGGGATAACTGGATCAGAGGGGTGGTTATCCTGTATAAGAGTGTGCGTCTCACTGCACCTTCAATGCCATTGAGTGTCAGAATTTAAACACCATACCATGCGTAGGAATTGGCATTTCTTAGGTGTATGATAGGATCTCATTTAACCATTGTAACAATTTTATGAACTGGGTATGCATTATTTCTTTAAGTTTGAGCAAGTAATAAGTGGCAAGACTAATGTTTAAATCCAGGGCCATCATGTTTCTGTTTTCTACTGTATTAAACTTTTTTGTTGTTGTTGGTTGTGGGGCTTGAACTCAGGGCCTGGGTGCTATCCCTGAGCTCTTCTGCTCAAGGTTAGCACGCTACCACTTTGAACCACAGCTCTACTTCTGGTTTTTGAGTGATTAATTAGAGGTAAGAGTCTCATGGGGACTTGTCTGCTTGGGGCTTTGAACCAAGATTCTCACATCTCAGCCTTAGGTGCCCATGGGCACCCAGCTTACATTAAACTTTTGTAGAGATCCATCAGTAGATGGCTTTGTCCTTTGCTATTATATAATGAAACTTTGTTTTTGTCTTGTTTTTTTTTTTTTTTTTGTGAGTCTGGTCGTGGGGCCTGAACTCTGGGCCTGAGCGCTGTCCCTCAGCTCTTCAGCTCAAGGCTAGCGCTCTACCACTTGAGCCACAGCGCCACTTCCAGCTTTTTTCTTTTTGCTTATGTGGTGCTGAGGAATCGAACCCAGGGCCTCGAGCATGCAAGGCAAGCGCTCTACCACTGAGCCACCTTCCCATCCCTGTAATGAAACTTTGTGAGGCATGAAAAATTAGGAATCCTGCTGTCATTATTATTTGTAGTTCAATGAAATTTTGTAGTTCAATGAAATTTTGGGTAAGGTGAATACAACCCTAATACCATTTTTTCTTTTAGCCATTAGTTCAGTCCTGTCTCATCACCACACTTGATCTTTAAATTGTATACAGATATAGGCTCAAGTTGTAATTTTATTTATATAAGATACTGAAGCCCAGATAGAAGAGTGAATTGCCTGAGTATTGCTAATAAAGGTCAAACTCCAAGTCCAGTTTTTTCACAGCAGCACATTGATCTGCTGGTGTATGAAGCATGGAATGCAACAGTAGTTCTCAACTCAGCTGATTGAGATAATGTATACAGATAACTGTCATCATTTGAAGGTTATCAGTGGCATCTGAGCCCCACAAAAAACCATTTGGCCTAAAATGGCAGTTGTGGTAAGAAATCTTGACCCAGAACAGTTGGCTTTGTTGCTTTATGTCTCCAGAACAAAGCATACCTACTGATGGGCTTGATTCTTTCAGAACAGGCTGTTTTTCAGTAGCTGAAAAATCTTCATTAATCATCAGGTTATATTCAGAATATTGTATTGAATTAAGCACCAGGAAGACAGAAAGTTATTAGACACATTCTGCCTCCATCAGAAAGTTCAGAAACATCTGGAAGAGATAAAGGCTATTTAGTTACTTCTAGCTGCAAATAAGCTCCCCTGGATTCTAGAAGCTATTGCATACAGTGGTGGCTATAGTCATGGATGATCCTGGTAGAAGTAGGGCTGCTGGATAGGCAAGGCACTGGTAAGCTCATGCCTGTAATTGTGACTACTCAAGAGTAGTCTTGAAATTTGGAAGATCATGGGTTGAAATCAGCCAAGGCAGAAAAGTCCATGAGACAGTATCTCCAGTTATCCAACAAAAAGAAAAATGCAGAGCTTTCTTGCTCATGCTGGTGGTCTATCCACTTGAGCTTAACAAGAGCAGGAGTCCCTGGAATTCAAGCACAAAAGGTTGGGGGGAGAAAGAGAGAAAAATAGAAATAGTACTGCTGGCTTACATGGACATTTCCAATGTCTTGCTCTCTTTCCATAGTTATGCAATGCCCACCAAAACCATGGAGGTGTTGAAGCTACAGGACCAAGGCAGCAAAATGTTCCTGGACTCCGTCCTTACCACCCACGAGCGAGTGGTTCAGGTAGGTGTGGGCAAACCTGAAGTGGATTTGCTTCTTAGGTTCACTCCTTGTGTTTTTTCCTTTGTTATGCCCTTTTTTTTTTCCTTCTTAACTGCTTTGAATGAGTGTATATGCTGGAGTTTAATTCTCGCCCTCCCCCCTTCCCTATCTGTCAGTTGTGGGGCTTAAGCTCTGGTCCTGGGTGCTGTCCCTTAGCTCTACAGCTCAAGGCAAGCACCCTACCACTTGAACTACAGTGCTACTTCCGGTTTTCTGGTGGTTTATTAGAGATAAGAGTCTAATGGACTTCCCTGTCTGGGCTGGCTTTGAACCACAATCCTCAGATCTCAGCCTCCTGAGTAGCTAGGAATACAGGAGTGAGCCACCAGTGCCCGGCCTCTATCTCTCTTTTTATGCAACCTCATTTATTCTTCCAGCCTTAATGACTATATCTGTATTCTAGAATCCAGATAACCCTATCCAAGATACATGTATCTAGGCTTGATCTGTGGACTGAATTTTAATACCCAGATACCTATTGGACTTCTCCATTGAGATGTTCCACAAATGCTTTCCTTGCCCTCATTGTATACAGAACTATTTATAAGGGGAATGATTTTTCCCCTTTTCTATAAACCTCTTCATTTTTGAGCCTAATGCTTATCCTCCAATATTCAAATTCCTTAGCTTCTGTCTCTTAAAAATCTTTCAAATCTATCAGCTTTGATTTACTTCCATAACTAATGTAATCCTATCATTTTCTTCCTCTAAACCCAAGTGGCTTCCATTTGCTCTAGCAGTTGTCTTCTGTTCTTTTCCTACAGAGATAGGTGAGAAGCCATACCACCATGATCGTGCTAAAAGTTATTAAAAATTCTGAGTGGCTCATGCCTATTATCCCAGCTGCTCAGGAGGCAGATATTCATCAGATGATTACTGTTTGAGACCACCTTAGGCAAAAAGTTAGGGTGACTTGTCTGAACAAATAAGCTGATTGTAGTTGTACACACCTGTATAATCTCAGCTATTTGGGAGTTATAGATAGGAGGACAAGGGTCAAAGGCAGGTCCTGGGCAAAAATAAGAGACCTAGCTGAAAGAAAATAAAGCAAAAAGTATTGTGGCATGTGGCTCAAGTGATAGACAGATGCAGTGCCTTGAGTTCAAACCCCAGTACCATCAAAACACAAAAACAGAAAAAAACAAACAAAAAAACCCAACATTAAAAAAAAAAGTCACAGGCTAGGAATGTGGTTTAGTGGAAGAGTGCATGCCTAGCATGCATGAAACCCTGGGTTCAGTTCAATAAACAGAAAAGGCCAGAAGTGGCGCTGTGGCTTAAGTGGTAGAGTGCTAGCCTTGAGCAAAAACTCAGGGACAGTGTCTAGGCCCTGAGTTCAAGGACTAGCCAAAAAAGAAGAAGAGGAAGAATCACACCTTGTTGTTGTTGTTTTTTTCACTTGTGGGCTCAACACACACACACACACACACACACACACACACAAGTAGTAGGGAGGGCTAGAAATGTGGCTTAGTGGTAGAGTGCTTGCCTCAAATGCATGAAGCCCTTGGTTGGATTCCTCAATGCCACATAAACAAACAAACAAAAAGAAATAAAGGGCTGTTGTTCAAGTGGTAGATCCTAGTCTTGAGCAAAAGAAGCTCAGGAACAGTGCCCAGGCCCTGAGTTCAAGCCCCAAGACTGCCAAAAAATAGAAAAATACATAAAAGTGGTAGGGAGGGAGGGTTGCTGGTGGCTCATGCCTGTAATACTACTCAGGAAGCTGAGATCTGAGGATCATGGTTCATAGCCAACCCAGGCAGGAAAGTCCATGAGACTATTATCTCCAATTAATCATAGAAAAAGCAGGAAGTGGCACTGTGACTCAAATGGTAGAATGCTAGCCTTAACAAAAGTAGCCCAGAGACAGCAGCCAGGCCCAGAGATCAATTCCCAGGACCAGCAATAGTAGTAGTAGTAGTGAGAACTATTTGGGAAGAGAAAGGAGATCAGCAGGAGAGGGAAGAGCCAAGAAAAGGGAAGGGAATGTGGCTTAGTGGTAGAGTCCTTGCCTAGCATGCATGAAGCCTGGGTTTGATTTTTCAGTATCACATAAACAAAAAGCCAGAAATGGTGCTGTGTTTCAAGTGGTAGAGTGTTAGCCTTAAGCAAAAGCAGCTCAGGAACAGTGCCCAATCCCTGAGTTCAAGCCCCAGGACTGGCAAAAAAAGGATCATAAGCCGGACGCTGGTGGCTCACACCTGTAATCCTAACTACTCAGGAGGCTGAGATCTGAGGATCATGGTTCAAAGCCAGCCCGGGTAGGAAAGTCCATGAGACTCTTATGTCCAGTAAAAACTACTAGAAAACTAGAAGTGGTGCTGTGGCTCAAGAGGTAGAGTGCTTGCCTAGAGCTGAAGAACACAGGGACAGCGCCCAAGCCCAGAAAAAAAAAAAAAAAGGAACATAATGAACTGGACACTGGTGGTTCACATCTGTAATCTTATTTACTCAGGAGCCTGAGATCTGAGGATCACAATTCAAAACCATCCTAGGCAGGAAAGTCTTTGAGACTCTTATTTCTAATAACAACCAAAAAGCCAGAAATAGAGCTGTGGCTCAAGTGGAAGAGTACTAGCTTTGCATACAAAAGCTTAAGAACAGCACCTTGGCTCTGAGTTCAAGCCCCAGGACCAGCACACACACATACTACAAAATCATAATGAAACTGAGCATGGTTGCTTGTTCCTCTTATTCCACCTAATGCTATTTGAGGCAAGCCTGGGCAAAAAGTTAGTGAAACTCAATCTTTCAACAAATTAGCCAGGTTTGTGGCCTCTGTTACAAAGAGACCATAGATGGTTTTTTTTTTTTTTTTTTTGGTTGTGGGTCTGAACTCTGGCACTGGGCACTGTCCCTCAGCTCCTCAGCTCAAAGCTAGTGACCTACCACTTGAGCCACAGCTCCACTTCTGAATTTTTTCTGTTTATGTGGTGCTGAGGAATTGAACCCATGGCCTCATGCATGCAAAGCAAGCACTCTACCACTGAGCCAACTTCCCAGCCCTTTGTACGTTTTTAATTGTAATAATACTGTACAGAGAGGTTACAGTAACATGAGCAAGATAATGAGTACATTTTCTATCGAGCATTGTTGCCTCCTCCTTTGTTTTTTTCCCCTACCATCCCTTTCCTCCCACTTCCACAGCTACTGCCCTTGCGCCCCCCTCCTCCCTTTCCCCCCACCAAAGATGTAAAGTTCATTTTTAACATAGTGTCTTGTACATCTCATTGTTACAATGGGTCAACCTGTATCCCTGTTTAAACATTTTGTTTTTTCCCTTCCCCTCCCCGAAATTAGAGAAGTATATATACAAGATGCAGGGCATGGACATCAAGTACAGTGAAAACAGGGGTTATACTGCGGGGGAGGAACATACAGAGAAACAATAGCAAAATAAACACATGGTACTTTATAAATACATTAGCAACAATAGCAAGAAAGAAAAAATACTGTGTTCCTATCTTGGGGTTCATTTCGCTTAACATCATCTCATATGGTCATATGTACATAGCTTTTGACCTTTTCTACTTATCCTACATATGTACTAGTTATTGCAAGGGAAACCATGGGACTTATGTTTTGGGGGGCCTGGCTTACTTCATTTAATATAATTTTTTCCAGATCTCCATTTCCTAACAAATGGGGCAATGTCATTCTTTCTGATGGAGGCATAGAATTCTATTATATATATATATACCACATTGTCTTGATCCATTCATCTACTGAGGGGCATCTGGTTTGGTTCCATATCTTTCACCTTCTTTTTGTAGCAACCTTATTGATATATAAATGGCAGAATATATGATTTCTCATTTAAAGTATACAATTAAATAGCTTGTAATATATTTAGAAAGTTATACAACTGCTTCTATGATGAGCTCACAATATTTTTCTTTTTTTTTTTTTTTTGGTCGTTTGTGGGGCTTGAACTCTGGGCCTGGGCGCTGTCCCTCAGCTCTACAGCTCAAGGCGAGCGCTCTACCACTTGAGCTACAGGCCACTTCCAGTTTTCTGGTGGTTTATTGGAGATAGGAGTCTCACGGTCTCTCCTGCCCGGGCTGGCTTTGAACTGCGATGCTCAGATCTCAGCCTCCTGAGTAGCTAGGATTACCGACGTGAGCCACCAGCGCCCGGCCTCACAATATTTTTCATCAACCCAAATAAATCTTGTAGTCCTTAGAAGTTACTCCTTTGTCCTAGTTTCCCTACACTCTTGGAACCACTCATCTACTTTCTACCTTCTATGCATTTAGGTCTTCTGGGCAATTCATTTAAAAGAAATTTGTATAATTATATATAATATGTGTAAGTGTAGAATGTATAGCCTTTTGCATCTGGGTGTTTTCATGTTTCCAAGGTATATTGATATTGTACTATAATACTTAATTTTTTTCGGGGGAGTCCGGTCGTGGGGCCTGAACTCTGGGCCTGGGCGCTGTCCCTCAGCTCTTCAGCTCAAGGCTAGCGCTCTATCACTTGAGCCACAGCACCACTTCCAGCTTTTTTCTTTTATGTGGTGCTGAGGAATCGAACCCAGGGCCTCAGGCATGCAAGGCAAGCGCTCTACCACTGAGCCACCTTCCCAACCCCAATGAATACATTTCTTATCAAGCATAGTAGCTTCCTCCTTTGTTTCCCTTTCCCATCCCTTCCCATCCTCCCCCCCCACCCAATCCTCCCTGCTTCTCCCCCCACCAAAGTTGTAAAGTTCATTTTCGACATAAGGACTTATACTTCTCATTGTTGCAATGGGTCCACCTGTATCCCTATTTAAACGACTTGTTTTTCCCCTTCCCTTCCACAAATTATACCGACATCAAATACAGTGAAAAGCATGGGTTATACTGTGGGGGAGGGACATACAAAGCAACAAAGAAATTGTCCCGACCCGCAGGACGTCAGCGAGGGCAGTGAACCTAAGTTAGAAGGAATGAAGGGACAAGAGACACGAAGAATGACAGCAAGACAAGGGTTCTGATCAAGCTGCAAATTTTTATTTTTCACACAGGGGTATTTATATGCTTGGACTAAGGAAGCTTTTTCATTGGCCGTTAAGGAAGCTTTTCATTGGCCATAGCAGTGCAGGATGTTTACTTAGGGCAGGATGAGGGTCCCATTCTGTAAACTCAGCCTCAAGATGTTCCAGTGAGATAGTCAAGCCTATTATGTTGAGAGACTCAACTTTTGGCTCCAGACAAGAAATTATCTTATAAATGCGTTAGAAACAATCGCATGAAAGCAAAAAAACATTTGAATACATATCTTAGGGTTCATTTCCCTAACATCACCTTATCTGACTTTTTCTGCTTGACTCAGACATATACTAGATATTGCAAATAAGGGAAACCATGGGACCTATGTTTCTTTGGGCTTGGCTTACTTCACTTAATATAATTTTTTCCAAGCCTTTTCCATTTCCTAACAAATGGGGTAATGTCATTCTTTCTGATGGAGGCATAGAATTCCATTGTGTATATATAACACATTTTCTTGATCCATTCATCTACTGAGGGGCATCTGGGTTGGTGCCATATCTTAGCTATAGTAAATAATGCTGCAATAAACATAGTTTTAGTGTGGTAGCTTTAGTGTGGTCTTGTTTGTAACCATTTGGGTAAATGCCCAAAAGTGGGATTGCTGGGTCATAGCCCAGCCCCTATAATAATGAATTTTATGGCCAAATAATAGTTCATTTTATAGAATTTTATCATTTTTATTAACATATATTAGTTATACAATGTGACATTTTACACATATACAAATATATAGAATTTCATTTACAGTTCTGTCACCTTACCATCAGCAAGGTAGTAAGTGGAAAGTTAAATGTGCTAAATTTAAAATAATGAAAGTGCTTAGAAATCTTCATGTCTTCAAATATTATCAGGTAGATCTTACTTGCTCTGAGGGCCCACAGATGAAGTATGAATTCTGTAGCTGTTAGTTGCCTTTATGGTTCTCCTCCTGCTTTTTGTCTTTACATCCCATTCACTCTGGCCATATCAGGAACTAGTTCTAATAACACTGTTATTAAAATTGCCAAATACTGTTATGCATCCACATTGTTCTGAATCTTGTTTACTCTGCCTTGAAAACTCTATGCTACTGTTGAATTCTCCTGTTGTTCTTCAAGTCTCTGCCCAGATGTTAGCATCTCTGGAAACTTTATTTGACCTTCTCCGACTGAATTAGTAGATATTTCTCTTGTGGTCCTCACAACTCCCTGCATTGCCTTTCTCCTGTACATCTGATTCACCTCTGACTCTTAGGCCAAGTTCTCATCCCATTCAGCAGCTGGCCTGTTTGGATAAACCTGAGTAACATCAGAAAGTTAGCCTGGACATGGGGCCAGGAAGGTGGCTCAGTGGTAGAGTGCTTGCCTTGCATGCATGAGGCCATGGGTTCAATTCCTCAACACCACATAAGCAGAAAAAGCTGGAAGTGGTGATGTGGCTCAAGTGGTAGATGGCTACACGTTGGTAGATGGCTAGGTTCAGAAACTAAAAATGGAGTTAATCCTTCACCTTACTGGATTTGACATTGGAGCCCAGGCCATGTCTGCCCAATTATCTTTCAGTGCCCTCCCTAGAGCATCTTTTCTTATTTTACAGATAAGCGGTTTGAGTGCTATATTTGCAGAGATTTTCCTGGAAATACTCCAGAGCAATCTTCCTGAAGGAGTCAAATTGTCAGTGAGGGAGGTAAGTGCTGGTTTGAGAAGAGGCCTCCCTCAAAATGAGGAGAAAGAATGGATTGCCAGGTTTTCAAAACAACAGAAGTGTAGATAGTTCTGCCCACATAATAATGAGCATTGTGCAGTCTGGAGGTACTGTGATGGTTATTACAACACTGTGGAGGCACCCAAGGTGATGCTTTGTGTATCACAGAGCTCACCTCCATCTCTGTGTCCCGCTGTTAGGCGAAACCCATGACACTTCAGATTCTCTCCTTTCAGGCAGTTATGTAACAGTAAGACCATGTTTAAAGATTTCATAGAGTGTATAAATCAGAACACAAACAGCAAAATGTTCCTTCAAGAGACATTTCCTAGACCTTCGAGGTTTCTCTATAACCTGATTGAATATATCCAGTAAAAAATACGGGTCATATAGCTGGGTGCCAGCGGCTCTTGCCTAATTGTAGCTACATGAGGTTGAGATTTGAAGATTGAGGTCTGAAACCACCCCGGGCAGAAAAACCCAAGAGACTCTGTCTTCAGTTAACCAGCAAAAAAGCTGGACTAGAAATGGCTCAAGTAATAGAGCACCATTGCTGAGCAAAAATAAATAAGCCAGGCACCAGTAGCTGATATCTAAGGCTTGAAGCCAATTAGAATAGGAAAGCTTATGAGACTCTCATCTCCAATTAACTACCAAAAAAAAAAAAAAGCAAGAACTGCAGCTGTGGCTCAGTGCTCACTTTGAAAAAAAAGAACCAGTGTACAGGCCCTGAGTTTAAGCCTAGGACTAACAAAGAATAAAATAAAATCATGAATAAATAAATAGCTGAGTGAAAGGGCAGGGCTTTGACATCAAGCCCTGGTACTGGGGCAAAAAAAAAAAAAGTGCTGGTCATGAGCTAGAGCTATGACTCAAGGGTTGAGTGTTTGTATACCAAGCTTAAGCGGACAAGTTCAAGCCCCAGTACTTAAAAAAAAATGCTAGTCAGAAGGATATCTGGTTGGACATGAAAAACTGGCAGAACAGGTCATTAGGAACTTTAGCCTAAATACTAGTTATTCAGGTCTATTTGCATGACACAAATCCATCAGGTCAGGTTAAACCAGTACCCTGACTTTACCCATCCCCTTTTGTTCTAAGGACATGCTTGTCAGCGTGTTGACTTTCATGTGTGAACATGGAAGTTATGTTCTGGTCAAGCTGACAAAAGATTCCAGTGCCTGTAAATATAATTTCTTAATATAAAGGGATAATTTTTATATTAAAAAGTGCTGGGCTGGAAAGGTGGCTCAGTGGTAGAGCGCTAGCCTTGAGCTGAAGAGCTGAGGGACAGTGCCCAGGCCCAGAGTTCAGGCCCCACGACTGGACCCCCCCAAAAAAAGTGCTAACTGGAAGCCAGCAGTTCATGCCTGTAATCCAGCTTACTCAGGAGACTGAGATCTAAGGATCACAGTTCAAAACTAGCCAGGGCAGGAAAGAGACTCTTATCTCCAATAAACTCCTTGGAAAAAGTTGGAGTGGCACTTTGGTGCACATAGTAGAGCTCTAGCCTTGGGCAAAAGAAGTTCAGGGACAGAGCCCAGTCCGAGAGCTCAAGCCCCAGGACTAGCCAAAAAAAAAGAAAAAGTACTTTTAGTCTGATGATGTGGCTCAGTGGGAGAGCATCTGCCTAGCATGTGCAAGGTCTTGGGTTTGATCTGTTTAACAAAACAACAATAACAAAAGCGTAGTTCTTTACATGCCTGAGAAATCTGATTTAGCTTTGAAGCTCTGATATCTAGTACAAATCTCAAACATGGTAGTGAATCTCAATCATTCTCTGCAGAGAATGGGCCCATCTTGGATGCTGTATGTATTTGAGAAACTAAAAGTTCTGTAGTAATTCCCACTACTTTTCTTTTTTGTACTCCCCAGCACACTGAAGAAGACTTCAAAGGAAGGTTCAAAGCTCGGCCAGAACTTGAAGAACTGTTGGCCAAGCTGAACTAGCTACCACGGATGTTTCATTCCATCCAACACTAGTGGTACTGAGTCTCAAGGAGAAGAGCTTCTTAGGTGGTCAGAGTTAAGTAAAAGGCTGGCCCGTTGATTTCTTAATTACTCATTTCCACACTAGGAATGCTTTCTCTCTGTGACATGGCAGTACTTGCCAGTTATTATACCACTTACCTTTGGAATAACTTGGAGTATCCTCCATCTAATAAAAATCTGCTGCTATATTTGTTACTACTGCTGTTGGTGTGTATGAGAGATGGGGAAAGGGAGGAAAGGAGAAGAGAAGAGTCAGGCCATCTTGACTCTACTAAGAGATTCTTTTTTCTTTTTTTTGGTCGGCCGTGGGGCTTGAACTCTGGGCCTTGGCGCTGTCCCTCAGCTCTTCAGCTCAAGGCGAGTGCTCTACCACTTGAGCTACAGCGCCACTTCCGGTTTTCTGGTGGTTTATTGGAGATAGGAGTCTCACGGTCTCTCCTGCCCGGGCTGGCTTTGAACCGCCATCCTCAGACCTCATCCTCCTGAGTAGCTAGGATTACAGGCGTGAGCCACCAGCGCCCTGCTTTTTTCTTTTTGTCTGATGTGTTAGCATAGAAGCATACTTCCCTTCCATATTGTTTTGATAAGAGTGAAGTCCTCTTTTTTTTTCTTGTGGAGGTAATTTCTTGCTATATAATCCTTTGTAACTCACTTTGTAACCCAAACTAATCTTGAACTTCGAGATTCTCTTGCCTGAGCTTTCCAAATTCTAGGATTACACAAGGATATGCCACTATGCCTGGCTTGAAATCATCTTTTAAAGCAAACTGGTGTTATAGTGATGTAGGGATCATAGTACAAATAAACTCCCTATATTAGTTCATTTTGTGTTGCTATAATGAAATAGCTGAAACTGGGTTCTTTTATTTTTCCTGCCAGTTCTGGGGTTTGAACTCAAAGCCTAGGTACTGCCCCTGAGCTTTTTTTTTGGGGGGGGGTCTGGTCGTGAGGCCTGAACTCTGGGCCTGGGCGCTGTCCCTCAGCTCATCAGCTCAAGGCTAGCACGCTACCACTTGAGCCCTAGCACCACTTCCGGCTTTTTTTTCTGCTTATGTGGTGCTGAGGAATGGAACCCAGGGCCTCATGCATGCAAGGCAAGCGCTGTACCATTGAGCCACCTTCCCAGCCCCATGCCCCTGAGCTTTTTTGCTTAAGGCTAGCACTCTACCACTTGAATCACAGCTACAGTTCCAGCTTTTTTTTGTGCTTAATAGGAGATAAGAGTCACATGGACTTTCCTGCCCAAGTTGTCTTTAAACTGCAACTCAAATCTCAGCCTCCTGAGTAGGAAACTGGGTACTTTATAAAGAAAAGAAGTACATTGATGTCACTATTCTGGAGTTTCAAGAACATGGCACCAGGGCTGGGAAGGTGGCTCAGTGGTAGAGTGCTTGCCTTGCATGCTTGCATGCCTGAGACCCTGAGTTGACTCCTCGGCACCACATAAGCAGAAAAAGCCGGAAGTGACACTGTGGCTAGCCCTGAGCTGAAGAGCTGAGGGACAGCGCCCAGGCCCAGAGTACAAGCCCCATGACTGACAACAAAATAATTAATTAAAAAAAAAAAAAAGAACATGGCACCAGAGACAGCTCAGTTGTGGTGAGGGCTCTCAGGCTTATGAAAGAGGGAGAGATCATGTGATAAGACAGGAAGCGGAGCCCAGAGCTGATGGCCCACGCCTGTAATCCTAGCTGCTCAGGAGGCTCAGATCTGAAGATCACAGTTCAAAGCCAGCCCAGGCAGGAAAGTCTATGAGACTCTTAACTCCAATAAACCATTCAGAAAACCAGAAGTAGAGCAATGGCTCAAGTGATAGAGCGCTAGCCTTGAGCTGAAGAGCTGAGGGACAGCGCCCAGACCCAGAGTTCAAGCCCCACGACCTACCAAAAAAAAAGACAGGAAGCCGAGAACAAGGAGGGGTTAGTCTTGTTCTTTTTTTTGGGGGGGGTGGTCCGGTCGTGGGGCCTGGGCGCTGTCCCTCAGCTCTTCAGCTCAAGGCTAGCGCTCTACCACTTGAGCCACAGCGCCACTTCCGGATTTTTTCTTTTTGCTTATGTGGTGCTGAGGAATTGAATCCAGGGCCTCAGGCTTGCAAAGCAAGCACTCTACCACTAAGCCACCTTCCCTGCCCCTAGTCTTGTTCTTTTTATTACTGTAAGGTCTGTCCTGGGAAGGCGAGACAGGCTCCTCCCTCCTCTTGGAAAAGTCTCTGCCCAGTAGTTGTGTCACCTAGGTAATTGGCACACCTGGAGGTCACATCCTGGGCCACCACGGTCACCCTTGCCATCGGACCAGGAGAGAGTCCCAGGCCCTGAAGTCACATCCCCATCCAATGTGGCTGCACCTTCTCCCCTCCCCTTTCCTACGTAAACCCAGTTCAGACCCAGCTTGCCCCTTTCACCATGCAGGGCTGGGGCAGCAGCTCAGTAAATAAACTTATTTTCCAGCCTGAATAGCGCTTGGTGCTCTCTTTGTCGGCTACCTAATTAAGCCTAGTATATTTAATTTACCTTACAATTACAGCCTACTATTAGAGGGTCCCAAGAAACTAATCCCTTTCCATGGCAGAGCCCTCCTCCATAACCTAATCACCTGCAAGGTATCACTTCCTAAGGTTCTGTCACCCTTAGACAGCAGATCAAGCTTCCAGTGCCTGAACCCTTGGGGAACACACTCAAACCCTATCAAAACCACTCTCTGAATAAAAAGCTTAAAGAACTTGGGATTTTGGAGAAGGATGGAGATTTTGCATATGAAAAAATGCTCCAAAGCTGGGCACAGGGGGGCTCACACCTGTAATCCTAGCTACTCAGGAGGCTAAGATCTAAGGATAGCTGTTCAAAAGCCAGTCCCCACAGGAATGTTGTCCGCTAGACTCTTTATCTCTAACCACCAGAAAATCAGAAGTAGCACTGTGGCTCAAGTGGTAGAGCACTAGCCTTGAGCTAAAGAGCTGAGGGTCAGCGCCCAGGCCCAGAGTTCAAGACCCACCACTGACAAAAACAAACAAAAAATAAAACTCCAGATGGAATTGTGGTGTGTCCATAAGTAAAATAAATTGCTTTGTAAGTTAGTAACAACAAAAGTATTCAGGTAAAGGGCTGGGAAGGTGGCTCAGTGGTAGAGCGCTTGCTTTGCATGCCTGAGGCCCTGGGTTCGATTCCTCAGCACCACATAAGCAAAAAGAAAAAACATCCGGAAATGGCACTGTGGCTCAAGTGGTAGAGCACTAGCCTTAAGCTGAAGAGCTGAGGGACAGCGCCCAGGCCCAGCATTCAGGCCCCATGACCGGACCCCCCCCCAAAAAAAAAATAGTATTCAGGTAAAGGTTTATACTTGCTAATTAAGTATTCCTGGAACAAGTTGAAATAAGGGAAAGTAGATGTTGGGTAGGAGTCAGCAAATGACTGCCTATAAAGCAAATCCTAAGCGACCATGTGCTGGTGGCTCACACCTGTAATCCTAGCTATTCAGGAGGTTGAGATCTGAGGATCGAGGTTCAAAGCCAGCTTGGGCAGGAAACTCTGTGAGTCTCTTTATCTCCAATAAACCACTGGAAAACCGGAAGTGGCACTGTGGCTTAAGTGGTAGAGTGCTAGCCTTGAGCTGAAGAGCTGAGGGACAGCACCCAGGCCCAGAGTTCAAGCCCCACGACCAACCAAAAAAAAAAAAAGCAAATCCTAACCCACTGACTTTTGTTGTTGTTTGGTTCTGTTTTAATGATGTCACAAAATCAGGTATTTTGAAATGAACATTAGTTATATAGTACAGTCACAAGACCTTCTGTCTTCATAAATAAAGGTTTATTGGAAAGACCTCTGCTCATTCACTCAATGTTGTCTATTACTGCTATAATGACATGTTTGAATAGTTACAACAGAGTACACAAAGTTAAAACACTCAATATTTGGCCCTTTGTAGAATAGTTTGTCAAAGACTTATCTAAGTCATTGAATCTCAAAACTTCTAGGGAACATGAAAATCACCAGGATGAGGTATTTTTGTGGGGGGGGGGGAAGAGGGGTCCAGTCGTGGGCCTGAACTCTGTGCCTGGGTGCTGTCCCTCAGCTCTTCAGCTCAAGGCTAGAACTCTACCGCTTGAGCCGCAGCGCCATTTCCGGCTTTTTTCTTTTTGCTTATATGTGGTGCTGAGGAATCGAACCCAGGGCCTCAGGCATGCAAGGCAAGCGCTCTACCACTGAGCCACCTTCCTAGCCCAGGATGAGGTATTTTTCAGCACAGACTCCTGTCCTAGATTTTAAAACTTCATGTGTATGCTGTAAGGGTCTACACTTTGTTTCTTACAAGTTCTCAAGTGATACTTGTGCTGCTAATCCAAGATTACCTCTTTAAGAACCTCTAGTTAGGTGGCCCCTAATGTTTTTCCCTTTCTAAGCACTCTTGCATTCATGCAAAATAGCTATCATTTGTGGAACCAGCACTTGTGCTGGGGGTCTCGGGATATTGTTTATGTGCCTGTGAATGTTTGTCTAAATGAGAATATGTAAGTGTGTGTGTGTGTGTATCTGAAGCTCACATTTATTGGTCTCCTCCTATTTAGAAATTCTCTTTCAGGTTATTTGTATTATCCTGATCTTATAGGTAAGAAACTGAAATTAGGAGAGATGAAATCACTTTATCACACAGCTAAAAGACAATTCTCTTCTCCTTTACTTCTGCGAGGATCTGGGGAGCTGTGAGCAGTCTCACCACTTCATGTACTTTCCTGGCTCATCAGCGTCAGTCCTGCAGTTATTTGCATTTGTTTCCTTGATCTCCATAGGTAACCACAGGAAACTCAAATTTCCTTCTAAGGCACAACACTACAGGGACAGGTACCCCTCATTAAAATGCTCCTCTGAATTCAAATGGAAGGTTCGGCAGGTCAAGACTTACAAGTGAACCCCACTGGAAGTGAAGGCAGAATTTTCCAGTGAGAACTGATGTTTTGGTTATAGAACTGCTCGTTATTGAGTCTCCTCTAGGGAAGATAAAAAAAAAAAACAAAAAAACAATAACCACAAAAAACAGAACAAATGAGTGAGAGACTAGGGAAGTATAATGACATAAAAGATGCATTTACATGTTAACAAGATATTGAGCTGAAAGAGTTTAGGAACAGCCAGCCTCATTGTTTCCTTTAACAACTGCATGTTCAAGGCCCAGAGAGCTGTGATTTGCCCAGTGTCACAGGGCATTTCACGGGCAGAGCAACAGCAGGATTCAGATCTCCTGATTGCCAGCCCATCCCTTTCTATTGCATCACTAAGGGATGAGTCAGACTTCTCTCTTAAATAGGAGGCCTTTGGATTCTGTCTCCTTGGAACCTTCTTACCACTCACCTAGTTGATGATTTACCCTTCCACTGGAGTCAAAGGACTTTTGTTGCTCATGGTTAATCTGACCTGAGAAATGGAAATTGTTCTTAATGTCCCATCCTAGCAAAACAAATAGGAGATAGTTTTACTGGATCCTCAGGGCTACACAACAATTATAAGCTTCCTTTGGTTCTCTAAAGCACAGGGAAAAAATGTTTTCTTAGGATCACAGAACAATGAAATGAATTAAACAGAACAAAAGTATCTGTGCTCCAAGTTGAAAATATCTTTCTCTTATCTCCTTGAGACAACTATTATAAGAAAAAGAGGCAGACAAACCTGGGTTGGCCTTGGGTTTCTGTATTAGTTTTAAAGCCTCTGGTGGTTTTTTGTTTTGTTTTGTTTTCCTGGTGTGCTAACTTCATTGAACTTCGTTTTTGGGTTTTTTTTTTTTTTTTTGTAAGATGAGGTTATCTCTTTTTTAGAGGTAGGAGATGGAGAAAAAGCAAAAGGATCAGTAATTATGAAATTTTATTCCCTTCTCAACAATTGTAGTTTAGGGGCTGGGAAGGTGGCTCAGTGGTAGAGTGCTTGCCTTGCATGCATGAGGCCCTGGGTTCCATTCCTCAGCACCACATAAGCAAAAAGAAAAAAGCCGGAAGTGGCGCTGTGGCTCAAGTGGTAGAGCGCTAGCCTTGAGCTGAAGAGCTGAGGGACA